CATTCCTGGCCTTAGGATCTGTGGCTGTGTAGGTCAAACTCTCCAAGGAGGATTAAATAAAGCACCTTTTCCTTAAACCCCCTTCCCATCTATTTGTTTATTTATTTTTATTTTTAGAGTCAGCGTCTTCTCTGTTGCCCAAGTTGGAGTGCAGTGGCACGATTGAAGGCTGTAGCCCCTGGCAGTCTTAAAGTCCGGGCTCAGGCCATCCTCCCACCTCAGCCTCCCGAGTATCTAGGACTACAGGTGCTCACCACCTACAACCAGCTAATTTTTAAATTTTTTGTAGAGACAAGGTCTCATTGTGTTGCCCAGGCTGGTCTCAAACTCCTGGCCTCAAATGATCTTCCTGCCTCATTCTCCCAAGTAGCTAGGACTTCATGCACACCCTACCACCTACTTCTCATCCAGACGGTCTCCTTCCAGGGATTTCCACCTGTCAAATTTTTGAAGAGTTTTGCATTCTGGTAGGGCGAATGCTGCCTTTAAATGTGCCAGGGCAGGCTGGGCACAGTTGCTCAAGCCTATATTCCCAGCACTTTGGGAGGCCAAGGCGGTCAGGTCACTTGAGTTCAGGAGTTCAAGACCAGCCCGGGGAACACGGCAAGACCTTTTCTCTACTAAAAGTACAAAAATTACCAGGGCATGGTGGTGCATGCCTGTGGTTCCAGCTGCTCAGGAGGCTGAGGCATGAGAATTGCTTGAGCCTGGGAGGCGGAGGTTGCAGTGAGCCAAGATTGTGCCACTGCACTCCAGACATTGAGAAACTCTGTCTCAAAAAAGGGGGGGGGCAGGGCAGTTTCTGGGGACAGTAAGTCTGGCATGGGATGGGAGGGACATTGTATTTTCCTCTTAGGGCAAGGCATTACAGCCTTTAATATGGTGCTTGGTGGACGAGGAATCCTAGCCTTTTAACATAATCATAGTATTTAATGTCTGTTCTGCTTACCATGTGCCTGGTATTGTGCTAAGTCCCAGTTCTAGTCATCTATAGAACTCAGGCTCCAGAGCCAGACCACCTGGGTTAAAATCCTGCCTCTGTCACTTCCTTGCTGTGTGACCTTGGGCCAAGTTACTTAATCTCTCTGTGCTTCGAATGACTCATCTGTAAACTGGGTTGATTCTAATAGTACCTAACTCATAGGGCTGCTGTGAGGATTAAATACAACCCACACATAGATGGTGGTAAGGACAATGTAATGATAAATGTTGGCCACTGTGTATTATAATGACTTCCATTTGACAGCTGAGGAAACTGAGGCAGGCTCAAGGAAATTCATAACCTGTCCAATGCCTCAGAGCTATCTTTTCTATTCCAGCATCTGCTCATTTATTTTCATTTCCCTCTTAATTCATGCCCCCCTCACTGCACCCCTTAATTCAATCATCAGCCTCTATCTAGGATCCCTGCTTCCTGTGTCTCGGGCTCCCAGCATCTGCTGCTGCCAGAAGGTTCTCCCTCTTCCTCACTTCCCAAAGTTGAGGAGCTCCCCGGTGACCTTGGAAATAGATCTTTTTCTTTTCTTTCTTTTTTTTTTTTCTAAATTTATTTATTTAACTTTAGGTGCATACTATATCTGGCATTTCTCCCCATGTTATCCCTGCCCACCCCCCCCAACTGTCTCTCCCCTACTCCCCCCAACTGTCCCCAGTGTGTGATGCTCCTCTCCCTGAGTCCACGTGTTCTTGTTGTTCAACACCCACCTATGAGTGAGAACATGCGGTGTTTGGCTTTCTGTTCTTGTGTCAGTTTGCTGAGAATGATGGTTTCCAGATTCATCCAGGTCCCTACAAAGGGCATGAACTCATTGTCTTTTATGGCTGCGTAGTATTCCATGGTGTATATGTACCACATTTTCTTTGTCCAGTCTATCATTGATGGGCATTTGGGTTGATTCCAGGTCTTTGCTATTGTACACAGGGCTGCAATGAACATATGTGTGCATGTGTCTTTATAGTAGAATGATTTATGGTTCTTTGGGTATATGCCCAGTAATGGGATTACTGTGTCAAATGGAATTTCTAGGAAATAGATCTTTTTCTCTTACTTTTTCTGTTGTTTTCTCCAATTACTAACACAATACACATGCAAGTTATTTTAAAATTTTATTTATAAAAATATTTGCATAGAAAGTGAAAAACTCTGCTAATTCATCTCCTGGTCGTAACTGCTGTTTGGAGTTTCATGTGTGGTATTCCAGATTTCTCCCTCTCCTCCTGGGTGTAATAATAGAGATTATTTTTACTTATCTTTTAAAAAGATGGGAACATGCTATTCATACTGTGTGCAATTCACAGGAGACAATTTTCAAGATTTAACTTATTTTTTGAAAAAGTTACACTGCCATATGGTATACAACTCCAGAGAGGCCAGGCACACTGGCTTGTAATCCCAGAGCCTTGGGAGGCAGAGGCAGGAGGATCACTTGAGGCCAGGAGTTTGAGACCAGGCAACACAGGGAGACCCTCACAGGCCTGGGCAACATAGGGAGACACCATCTTGGCAAATAAAGAGAAATTAGGTGAGCATAGTGGTGAGTGCCTGTAGTCCCAGCTGCTCAGGAGGCCGAGGCAAGAGGATTGCTTGAGCACGGCTTGGGCAACAAAGCAAGACTCTGTCTCTAAAAAAGAAAAATGGAAAAAAATCCAAAAGATGCCTAAGCAAATATTGGAAAGTATCTCCCTCCATATCTGTCTCCAGCCATCCAGTTTCTCACTCTGGAAGCAGCCACTATTGCCAATTTACAGTCTACCTGTAGTCAAGAAACATACAATTACAGTTTATAGGGCATGTATGTGTCATAAACTGAAATATGTAAAAATATGGTATAGTTTCTAGAAGAGGAGAAGCAGAGGAGAGAAAGCTCCGTTAGAGAAAACGTTGAGCTGCTGATGTCCTTGTCTCATGGACTCTCCCTCAATGGAGAGTGAGAAGACACTGTTCAAAGTCCACGGAACTTGGTAACGTTTACAGCAGTGGTTCTCAGCTGGAGGCAGTTTTGCCTCCCAGGGGGTATTTGACCATTCCTGAAGACATTTTTGGTTGCCATAGCTTGCAGATGGCGTGGGGTTGGGTGTCCTCCTGGTATCTAATAGATAGAAGCCGGACATATTGCTCAACACCCTACAATGCACAGAACAGTCCCCCCAGCTCCCCACAACAGGGAGTTGTCTGACCCCAAATGACAGTACTGCCGAGGTTGGGAAATCCTGACTGGTAGCTACAAAAGGATCAAAATTACTGCTTTGACTTCTTTCCTGGAGCTCATTTGGCTCAGCCCCATGATGATTGGCAGGCAGAATCCCACGATCCAGATGTTCCTAGAGTCATGTGCTGCCAGGTACTGTCCTTTCATCCCAGTAATGACAGGCCTTGTGACAAAGCAAACCATCTTCTTGGAAACCACCACTCTCCTCCTCTCATTTCCTCTGATCATACGATTTGTAACTCAAGTCTCTTCCACAGGAGAAAATTCCATTTCTCCATTGGAAAGCCACTATTTCGCATTTAGTGCTAATACATCAAATAATGGGGCTGGGTGCCGTGGCTCATGCCTGTAAGCCCAATGCCTTGGGAAGCCAAGGTGGGATGATCACTTGAGCCCAGGAGTTCAAGACAAGCCTGAGCAACATAGTGAGACCCCATATCTACAAAAAATAAAAATGTTAGCCAAATGTGGTGGTACACATCTGCAGTCTCAGCTACTTGGGAGGCTGAGTGAGGCAAGAGAATTGCTTGAGCCCAAGAGACAGAGGCTGCAGTGAGCTATGATTGCACCACTGCATTCCAGCCTCAGTTGACAAAGCAAGAGCTTGTCTTAAAAATAAATAAATAAATAAATAAAAGGAACAGTAACTGTAGGCCCCAATTCTTTTTGTGAATTATAGAAATAGGACATTCTTTTTTCTTTGAAATGATACTCCCCCAGATGTAAATGCCGTAAGAAACAGATCTTATTTGTTCTGGCATTTGTAAAAATACAGAAATTTGATCCAGTCCTGGATTATCTACTGCCTTCTTTCTTTCTATATGAGTATGAAATCTCCTTCTCAGAGAAAACCCTTTGTGATGAATTAGCATCCCATCTGCTGGGGTTTATCCCTGGGAATCTGAGTCTTAGGTGGCTAGAAATAACCTTAGTCCAAATTTTCTCAAATGTTAACTGATATAACCCTTATCGACACTAGGAGGAGGGAGCGTATATAGTTCCCACTTTGTAGATTAATGGGAAGGAAATTGAGGCTCAGAGGGGTTGAGACATTATAGTCGCAGAGTGCCAGAGTCAGGATTTGAATTCAAATCAATTGCCTTGAAACGTGCGCTGGTTTAGTACTGCCTGAAGTGACATGCCATTTATTTCCAGAAGTGACATGCCATTGGTAATTATAATTACAGAGTTAAACCTCTGTGGTCCACATGTTGCTGAAGGGGATGTATCTATAGAAAAGCATGGCCAGGCCAGGTACAGTGGCTTATGCCACTGTAATAATAATCCCAGCAGTTTTTTGGAGGCTGAGGGGGGTGGATCACTTGAGCTCAGGAGTTCAAGACCAGCCTGGGCAACATGACAAAACACTCTCTCTTCAAAAAATACAAAAAAATTAGGCATGGTGGCTTGCACCTATAGTCCCAGCTAACTTGGGAGGCCGAGGCAGGAGGCTCACTTGAGCCCGGGGGGTGGAGGTTACAGTGAGTGACACTGAACTCCAGCCCAGGCGACAGAGCCAACCCTGTCTCAGAAAAAAGAAAGTAGCCAGTGCATGGGGGTGTCTAGTGGGGAATTGCATTCCATTCTTTGTTGGATTAATGAATTCAGGTAATCTCTTCCCACACCACTTCACTCCCTGGAGTTAAAAAACACACATAAAACAAATCTATTTACTTCCTTATGGTGTCCAAGAAATAACCTCTGTAAAGGACTTTGACCGTTTTATTGAGGTGATGTCAAAAGAACATTAATAAGAGGGAGGAGTTAGAGTTTAGGTAGAAGGAATTGCACAATTTGGAACCTGAGTTAGTGCTTCATCGTTGCACACTCAGTGGACAGAGGCCGTAGGTGCAGCTGTGATATTAGAGGTGGAAGACTGATTTGCATTTTAACCAGGTAAGACCCGGTTATTCATTGGTGGGTGAAGAAAAAGATGATAACCAGAGTGGTGTAAAACTGCAATGAGCTCAGTAAACACCGCCTCCCCATGATCTGGGTGGCATCCCACCCAGCCATGTGACCAAGACAGCAAGGAGTGCTGTCTTTAAGGAGACACAGCACAGAGGCAGAAAAAGATGGCCCTTACCGTTTAGTTAATAAGAAAAAGAGGACCTGTTGCCTGTCCCTCTGGCTTTGAACCACAAAATGAACAGGAAGTTTATCTGGATTTTCCTGCAGGACTGAGGGCAGGTAAGAGTGCTTTGAAGGAGGGGTGGGAAGTTATGGGAATAATGGGGAATGCTTGGGAACGTGTCAGGGAAGGAGAACAGAAACCAAGGCCGTCCTATTGCTTATTGCCGGACGAGGGTACGGAATTGAGGCACAACAGACATTTGTTAGTGGAAAGAATGACCATGGGGAAATTGGGGGCAAGAGAGTGTGTTGATTATGAGAACAAGCCCTAGGGTTTGTTATCTGCCTGAGTTGGAATCTGGGCTGCCCCAGGTCTAACTGTGGGATTCTGGGTGAGATATTGTACCTTTCTGGCCTTGGTTTCCTTGTCTGTAGAATGGGTAGTAGGCCAAAAGCACCCACTTACACAGGTGGGTATCAGAGCTAATAAGAAAATATGGTGCACCACAAACACTCAATAAATGTGACCTCTATGTCCTGGGGTGTCTACTGGAGCATCGCGTTCTGGAAGAATGCTTTGTTGAATGAGTGAATTCAGGCATTCTCTCCCAACCCTACTTCACTCTCTGGGGTTAAAAAAAAAAACCAAAAACCCAAATCTATGTACTTCTTTATGGTGTTCAAGAAATAATAACCTCTCCTCATTTTTCTCACCCTTCTTTTTTCTTATCCTTTTCTTCCTCTGATAAGTGATTTTTGTGTTGCCTTTTTTTTTTTTTTTTTGAGATAGGCTCTCACTCTGTTGCCCAGGCTGGAGTGCAGTGGTGAACTCATAGTTCACTCCAGCCTTGATCTCCTGGGCTCAAGCAATCCTTCCGCTTCAGCCTCCTGAGTAGCTGGGACTACAGGCACACGACACCATGCCCACCTACCTTTTACGATTTTTAGTAGAGACGAGGTCTCACTATATTACCTAGGATGGTCTCAAAACTTCTGAGCTCAAGTGATCTTCCTGCCTCAACCTCCCAAAGTGCTGGCATTACAGGCATGAGCCACCATGCACAGCCAACAATGAACACTGGCACTCATAAATAGTGCTGTCTTGGCCGGGCGCGGTGGCTCAAGCCTGTAATCCCAGCACTTTGGGAAGCCGAGGCGGGTGGATCACGAGGTCAAGAGATCGAGACCACCCTGGTCAACATGGTGAAACCCCGTCTCTACTAAAAATACAAAAAATTAGCTGGGCATGGTGGTGCGTGCCTGTAATCCCAGCTACTCAGGAGGCTGAGGCAGGAGAATTGCCTGAACCCAGGAGGCGGAGGTTGCGGTGAGCCGAGATCGCGCCATTGCACTCCAGCCTGGGTAACATGAGTGAAACTCCGTCTCAAAAAAAAAAAAAATAGTGCTGTCTTCATGGTTCTTGTTGTTGTTAACTTATTATTATTGTTATTGTTTGACTAGATTCTTTTTACACAGGAGAAGGGAAGAGAAGCTCAGTGAAAATTAATGTCAAAAGTAGGGTTTGTTGTCATATTTTGCCAGGATAGGTCCTGTTGCCAGAAGACAGCGTCAAGTTCAAGTTATAGAACATCTTCATTAACGTTAATGAATAACTTGGTGAATCATATTTGCCAAGATTTTTCAGGATGGCATGGCAGGAGATGATACTGTTATGACTCAGGTTATTTCTAGTCACCTAATATTCATCATTCTTAGAGATAAATTATAGCTGCTAGAATGTTAATCATCAGATACAGTCATTTCTGCAAAGGCATTCATAGGGAAAGGAATATTTATAGGGAGTGTAGTGGTGTGATCATAGCTCATTGCAGCCTTGAGCTCCTGGGCTTGAGTGATCCTCCTGCCTTAGCATCCTGAGTAGCTGGGACTGCAGGCGTGCACCGCCATGAACAATTAAAAATCAACGAATTTTAAAATTTCTATAGAGACAGAGTTTTACTCTGTCCCCCAGGCTGGAGTACAGTGGCATAATCATAGCTCACCGCAGCCTCAACTTCCTGGATTCAAGTGATCATCCAGCCTCAGCCTCCTGAGTAGCTGGGACTAACAGCTGCATGCCACTGGGCTCAGCTAATTTTTAAAACTTTTTGCAAAGCCAGGGTCTTGCTGTGTCACCTAAGCTGGTCTCCAACTCCTGGTTTCAAGCAATCCTCCTGCCTCAGCCTCCCAAAACCCTGGGATTACAGGAGTGAGCCATCTCACCTGGCTGAACATGGGTATCATTTAAAAGGAAAAAAAAAGTCCTGTGTCTAGAATTCATGAGAAGAATTGGAAGCTCATAGTTACAGTTCCCAGCCTTTGCTGTGTTAGCACCCACATCCAGTGCAAAATAGTGGCCTTCCAAAGGAGAAATGGCATTTCCTCCTTTGTCAGAGACTTGAGTTATAAATTACACCATCAGAGGAAAGGACTTAAAATGAGAGGAGGTGAGTGGAAGTCTCAAAGAAAATGGTTTAGGTCACTCAAAGAATTGTCACTCGTAAGGTGAGATAACAGGACCTGGCAGCGTGAGACTCATGGAAACCCGGATCGCAAGGTTTTGACTGTCAGTCAGCGTGGCGCTGAGATCAGAGCCAGAGCCAAAAGCACAAAGCAGCCATTCTGATCCTGTCTGTTTTGAACATGCTGATTTTTTTTTATCATGGGTTCTTTTGCATTTATTTTTATTTAAAAAAATATCACGTTAAAATATTATTTATTTTGATGATATGGTGTGTTCCCATCCAAATCTCATCTTGAGTTGTAGCTCCTGTAATCCCCACGTCATGGGAGGGACCAGGTGGGAGGTAATTGAATCATGGGGGCGGGTTTTTCCCATGCTGTTCTCGTGATAGTGAATAAATCTCACGAGATCTGATGGTTTCATAAAGGGCAGGTCCCCTGCACAGGCACGCTTGCCTGCTGCCATGCAGGACATGTCTTTGTTCCTCCTTCACCTTCCCGCATGATTGTGAGGCTTCTCCAGCCATTTGGAACTGTAAGTCCATTAAATCTCTTTTCCTTTATTAATTACCCAGTCTCAGGTGTGAAAATGGGCAAATCCACTTGATTCCCGGGATTTTTGGCCCCCTTTAAATTTGCATCCCAGCTCAGCACTTACCTTGCTCCCTTCCCCTAGTCCTGGCCCTACTGCCAACAGCATTGAATCTAGAAACTTCCCAAGCTTGATTTTATACTTACCCAATATGGGAGAAAAGATAGCAGAATTCAAGGGGTGAATGTGGAACAAATCAGAGTTGAAAAAATAAAATTTGAGCCAGGTGTGGTTGGCACACACCTGTAGTCCCAACTACTCTGAAGGCTTAGGCAGGAGAATGGCTTGAGCCTAGGAGGTCAAGGCTGCAGTGAGCTATGATCACATCACTGCACTCCAGCCTGGATAATACAGTGAGACTCCGTCTCTTTAATAAGAGAGAAAGACAAAAGAGAGAGAGAGAATTTGCTATGACACAAGGATATTTAAAGGTGAGGGGAGAAAGAATTTGCTTTTCTGCTTCCCTGAGTGGGGTGAAAAGAGGAACATTTAGGATACTGTATTCCAAAGGGAACTCCAATGCCCTGCTTCCAAACCACTTTCCAGGTGTCTCCATTTACTTAGGGACCTGGATTGCTTGGAAACCTCCATAGTCGTCTGTTTGCATTTTGAAGTATTAATTTATCTTTTTTACTTGGAAATCACATTTTTTATTTTCAAAAGTTGTAAACAACTGGGCATGGTGGTTCACGTCTGTTATAATCCAAGCACTTCAGGAGGCCAAGGTAGGAGGATCTCTTGAGCCCAGGCATTAGAAATCAGCCTGGGTGCAACTCTGTCTCTACCAAAAAATATTTAAAAATAGGCCAGGGGCAGTGGCTTATGCCTGTAATCCCAGCACTTTGGGAGGCTGAGGTGGGTGAATCATGAGGTCAGGAGTTCTAGACCAGCCTGGCCAACATGGTGAAACCCTGTCTCTACTAACAATACAAAAAGTAGCTGGGCATGGTGGCAGGTGCCTGTAATCTCAACTGCTCAGGAGGCTGAGGCTGGAGAATTGCTTGAACCTGGGAGGCGGAGGTTGCAGTGAGCTGAGATCACACAATTGCCCTCCAGCCTGGGCAACAGAGCGAGACTACACCTCAAAAGTAATTAATTGATTAATTAAAAAAATAAAAATTTAGCCAGGTGTGGTGGTGTGTGGCTGTGTTGAGGCTGAGGTGGGAGGATCACCTGAGCCCAGGAGTTAGAGGGTCCGGTGAACTGTGGTTGCACCACTGCACTTATCGCGTTTCCTTTCTCTTCCTTCTCCCGTTTTGTTCTCTCCTAATTTTATTTCATTATTTATATTTTGTTGTTTTCTTTGTAGCAATAAATCAGGGTATCTCAACTTTTGTGTGACTGACACGTGGGACCAGATCATTGGTGGCTGTGGGAGCTGTCCTGTGCATTAGAAAATATTTAACAGCATCCCTGGCCTCCACCCACTAGATACCAATAACACACTCACTGCAGTTTTGACAACGAAAAGTTTGCCAGACTTTGCTCCATGTCCCTTGGGGGCAAAATCACCCCCAGCTGAGAACCTCTGCCAATGACGAGGTACTTATAGTTCCTTAAACTTGGACAGCGTTGCTGACTCCACTTCATGCGAGAAGGAAATTAGCACCTTGACATTTTCCTCTAATAAAGTTCTTCCTTCTGCATTTCTCCACTTCTAAAATATTTTTTACATATTGTGGTTTATAAACTTGTGTTTTGTGTCTTATAAACTACAATTATATGTTTCTTGCATGGTAGGTTGGAATAGTAGGAAAAAAGTTTTCCCCAACCGTACTTTCACCAAAGAACACTTCTGTGATCAGATATTGGTGGGGCTTGAGGGGTCCACACTGACCCAGTCTCCAACACCAGCTGCGTGTCCCACAATTTTATTGTTGTTATTATTTTGAGACGGACTCTCACTCTGTTACCCAGGCTGGAGTGCGGTGGCGCTATCTTGGCTCACTGCAATCTCCGCCTCCTGGGTTCAAGTGAGTCTCCTGCCTCAGCCTCCTGAGTAGCTGGGACTACAGGCATGTGCCACTGCGCCCAGCCAACTTTTTTTGCATTTTTTGTACAG